CGCATTTGAATCTTCAAATTTTCCACTGTGTACTTTTTGTCTGGAGAAAACCTTGGACTAGAGATAAGACCATTTCAGAAAACGTATTTCTAGCAGCAGCTGCTTCCAGTCCACCAGTCTGGGCTTGAGGTTGTGTCAAGATCATGAAATACATACTGTTTGTCACCTTTGTTGGTGTGGCTGGTGAGTATATTTTTTACTTATCTTTTTGCAATTTATAAGGACGCTCATTTTCTGAGCAAATTTGCGAGGTAGTCTATGGTGGGAAAGTTCAGTCCAGTTTCAACCTGCAAAACTCTTAAGGCAGAGCACTGCAATGTCATGTCTCTCAACTGCAGTCTGTTCGTAATTGCTTGTGTCACAAAATGGGGAATGAATGCCTTCACAGGGGTTCTTGACCAAAGAATACTGAAACGTGTCCATAGCTTCAGAGAAGACTGTCTCTCTCTTAAGGACTATGAAGTGTGAAAATAACACCTCTGGCTCAGGAAGACCTAAAGCTGATGTAAAGTTTTGGACTATGGGCGAGTGCTATATAACTGCAGATTTGTTTTGTACTTACACTCAGTCCACTATTGACCACTACTGCAGACAACATCCTGGGACAGAAACACCTTTGGTCCGCTCCAACAAGAACTTTTCTATGTTCTTGTGTTCACTCTCAAACTAGCAGCCAATGCAGATAGGTGAGACACCAACCTAAATCTGATCAATTTTAGGGAGCAGCAAATGAATGTCCATGAGACTTGCCCACCACTGCTACCGTGACATTTTATAGAAGTAGAGCTTACGAGTGAGATGCTTCAGTCAGTCACAGGGGTGAAAGATTCCTTATGCCGGGTGTTAACATATGCCACTTCTTATCTCCCAGTTGCCTTCCCCAGCAGCGCTGACGATGACGACGACAAGATCGTGGGAGGCTACACCTGTGCAGCAAATTCTGTCCCCTATCAGGTGTCCCTGAATTCTGGGTACCACTTCTGTGGAGGTTCCCTCATCAACAGCCAGTGGGTTCTGTCAGCTGCCCACTGCTACAAGTCGTGAGTGCAAAAAAAATGTATTCTTCCATAACGTTCTTCTTTCTTACAGTTCACTTCTAGCAAGAATTCTGTGCTGTGAGATCCAAATATGTAAATGACTCCATTCTGACAGGAAACAACAAAGGAATAGGTGGCTCATTCAGGAAGCTGGGCTGAGGCATCATAAGGGGTTTCCCGCTTCTGCAAATGTGCCTGTGAATGCAGAGCACTTTCTGAAATGACAATGGGATAATCTAGCAACAAGTCATGGGCTGCGAGTTAATCTTGCTAAAACTTAGTCACTGGAGAACAGGAAGAGAAATGAGGTCAGGGTGATAGCAGTTTGCCTTTTTCCAGAATGAAACACTGTTATGTATCCAACCCATCCCAGCTCAACAAAATAAACCTGCAGAAATTCACCACCTGTCCTGGGAGTGGGTAAGACCTCAGTGTGGATGCCCAGGACTTAGTGCGGGACAAGAACGGTAACCTGCGTGAAAACAGCTGCTATGATAGAGACGTTGAAGCGAGTGAACCACATGGTGACAGGGAGCTTCCTCGTGACTTCTCAGCAGCAGTAAAGTTTATGTCATTCCTTCTCTTTTCCAGTCGCATCCAAGTGCAGCTTGGGAAGCATAACCTGGCACACACAGAATCGACACAGCAGTTGATTAATTCAGCTAAAGTCATCCGTCACCCTGGCTACAGCTCTGCAACACTGGACAATGACATTATGCTCATCAAGCTTGCCAAACCAGCCCAGCTCAACCGAGCTGTCCAAACAGTTCCCCTGCCTACCAGATGTGTGGCCACGGGCACCATGTGCTTAATCTCTGGCTGGGGCAACACACTCAGCAATGCCAGTGAGTACTCTGTGGGAATGTGTGGCATCGTGAGGGTGGTTGTGGTTTGGGCCTGATCGGCAACCAACCCCCGCAGCTGGTCACCCTCCTTTCCCCCTCCCCACCTGGGAATGGGGGAGGGAATTAGAGGGGTGAAGGGAGATTCGCAGGCTGAGATAAGAACAGTTTAATAATGGCAATAAAACGAGAACAATGACGATGATAGGGGAAAAACAAAAAGAAAAATATAAACAGGCAAGGTACAGCGTAATTGCTCACCACCCGCTGACCAATACCCAGACCGTTCCCGGCCAGTGACCCCGAGATACCAAGATCCCACAATCGCAATCCCAGAAGCGAGAGAGCTCCTTCCCAACCACCCCTCCTCTATACAGTGAGCATGACGTTCCATGATATGGAATATTTCATGGGCCAGTTAGGGTCAGGTGCTGTGGCCGTGCTCCCTCCCTGCTCCCTGTTCCCTTGAGCATGGGCAGGACATGGGGAGTCGGGGAGTCCTTGAAGTCTTGGTTGCAGCTGAAAACATCAGTGTGCTATCAGCATTCTTCTCATACCAAACCCAAAGCTAAATCCAAAACACAGCACTCATCTAGTCCCTGAAAAGGAATATTAACTCTATTTCAGCCCAAACCAAGACAAGGGTCCAGGAGACACGCTAAGACCTCGCAGTTAACACCAAACAGTACAGGGAAGTGCTGTGGGACATGCCTTTGAGTGACCAGTCTGTGTTGGACAGAAGCCATTTAACGGCTTTAAAGGCAAGCCTTTACAAGGTCCTTGCTCTCCTTCAGTGTTAGGAACATGGAATCACTTAAGTCATCCATGTGCCATTCACCAGCATGTTCACACTGCCATAAATTCTGTGGCCTGGCGCTATCAGCTGTGCCGTGCCAAGCACTAGCAATTTAAACACTGTCAACAGAGCTGTCAGTTCTCCGAGAACAAGATGAAAATCTGTAATTGTGGATCTAATATTACTACAAGAGAGCTCCATTCTCCTACACTGACAGTCAGAGGTGTGAACGGTGACTGGTGTCTAATCCACTGATGACAACTGAATCTGCTCCAGAGGTGAGGATGAGGTTTTCCCAAGGCCCAGGTCTCCTCTAGCGTATGTGCTACAAGAGTAGCTCTTAGCTCCGCACTTGCCAGTTGATGGTTTTCTAGGTATCAGAAAAATTAACGTGGCTGTAAGTGTAGAACGGTGGGCCCACAGGTAGAATCTGTTCCATCTAAACAAAAGGAATCCATGCTGCGATTACTGTTCAGAGGAAAAATGATGACTGCGAAAACAGGATGTTCGGTGATTACTTTTCTGATAAGGAAGATCTTCTCTGGGCTCTGATGTGAACTCAGAGATGCCACCAACCATCTTTCCCTATTTTCTTGTAGATGCGTATCCTGATACTTTGCAGTGCCTGAAGGCTCCTGTACTCTCCTCAAGCGAGTGCACCAAAGCCTATCCTGGGCAAATCACCAAGAACATGATGTGTGTAGGATTCATGGAGGGAGGGAAAGACTCCTGCCAGGTAATACATCTGCCTCTCCTTTCCCACATGTTTCTCTCCTGCCTTTTGCCAGTGGAAGAGGTTATCGTAGCAGAGAATCTGCTCCACTCACTGCACTGGCATGTCTGAATGTTGGGGGTTTTTTGAACGACAGTGGAGACTTAGGGTGAAAGTTGGTTACTGAGTGAGGCTAGGGTTTTTCCCCCTCAGTTAGTCATCGACCCTTTTTTGAGGTAGCTAATACCTCTGCCCTAAATCTCCACAAGCAGGCTGTGCCGCCTCCTGCACCTTAGGCTATTGAAAATGGAGGAGTGATGCACCAGAGAGTCAGTAGTGATCATGGTGGCTTTAGAGCTTAGGACGCAAAAGTTAGGCTTGGACTCATCAAAAATTAAGCAGCTGTTATACCAAGATTCAGGAAGTCTGGAAAATGAACACACTTGACAATTGCTCTGCATTTTACATGTACCTAGTGCCATGGAAGTATCTGGCAGAATAACGTTTAAGATGCACATATCCTAAGCGCCTGCTGAGGACTGCAGCCCTCAAAAATGGGCAGCTTACCCATCCTTATCTGTGGTGCCCTTGGAGCTAAAGTAAGGCGCAGTAGCATCAGCTGCAGAGCGGCCATCAGAAATGACCTCTGTAGAACTTCTGTGTAGAGAAAGCCCAATGGAGGGAGCTCCCTCAAATGTCAGTGATTTCTGGGATTGCTGCCTCATCACTTACGCTGACACCATTTGCTGAATATTCATATTATTTCTGTGCACAGGGGGATTCTGGCGGTCCAGTAGTCTGCAATGGGCAGCTCCAGGGCATCGTTTCCTGGGGTATTGGATGTGCACAGAAAGGCTATCCTGGGGTTTACACTAAGGTTTGTAATTATGTCTCCTGGATCAAAGCAACTATGTCTTCCAACTGAGACACTCTCATCCTAGGCAACTTGCTTTTTCTCTTCCTCATTTTCTTCTGGTTTGGGATCGGACATAAAGAAATTATCAAAAAATAAAGACTTTCAGGCACTCCTTTGTGCAACGTTTCTCTGGGTACTTCCATAGGCTATGATATGAAGAACAGGGGGAGGGAATGCCACTCTGGGGAAAATATTTAATACCTGTAGTGCTTCTCAACTAGCAGGACCTTGGAACATTTTGCAGATTTGTCTTCAGGAGTCTTTCAACCGGTTACATGCAGCCATTTCTGGAACAGAACATCTTTTCTGTTTATCAGCACACACTCTGGTGCTACAAAACTGCCTAAAACAGCTGAGAGAGTGTGCTGAATCATAGAGGCAGCATACTCCTAACGTAGAGAACAGCAGTCAGCCACACAAATGCTTCCTATCGCCCCCATTCCCACCCCCAGCAATATGACTGAACATTCCCTGATAGAACCTCCTGGAAAGCTCTACTTGGGGAGTGGAATCACCTCTTGCTAGGGCTTGTTCTCTTCATGTACCAGAGCCACTGAGGCTGCTGTCCATACCTTCTTGCTCAGTTTACTCGTTATGCTGGGTTTGCTTAGTTTTCCTGGAAGAGTCAAAGTACATATGTTCCCGGGTTCTGTTTCTAACTCTTCCTAACCCCAACTGGCACTGGAATTGAAAGTACCTGGAAAAGCTGCCAAAGTGGCCAATGGGCTGTGTAGCTGTCTCCTAAAGAAGAAAAGAGCAGTAGAGAATTTAAGTAAAATAAAAGGATAGAAAAAGCAGAAAATAGGTGAAATGGGGAGAAATTTAAAAGAAATCTGACACTGGAGGAAAGGAGTGGGGGTGTTAGCAGTAGCAGTCATGAATAGAACTTTTCTACACAAAGCAGATAAGCAGGCACTTCTTTATTCCAGCGCCGGGGAACACGGGGGATAGCTCCACCAAAGACATGTTCACCAACAGGTACAAAGCACAACATATTTATACACTTTTTCAGCAGAGTCACGTTCACGTAAGATCAACAAAATTCATAAAGTTTAATTTAACCTTAATAATGATTGGCGTTCAGTTACCTCACCTTACCTCTATTCCTATTCTACAGAAATCAGTGGTCATCTTTACCGATCGATTTAAATAGAATGGGGGGAGGGTAATGATTAGCATATTCATGCTATTTCCTGGAAATCATTATCATATGCAAATGTCTCTAACGCATGCGTGGTTATGTTGGACGGGGGTCCTCTGGTGATCGTTGATAGTCTTCCTCCCTGTGTCCGCTGGTTGAACTCCATCCCTGCGCACGCTCATTTCATCTTTGGCTGATGCCCATTTCTTCTTTGGCCGATCTTCCCAACCAAAACCAGTTTCTTCTGGTACTTATTGTTTCAAATCAAGATCCATAACCAGTATCCACTGGTTTGATTCAGAGTCCATAATGATTCTTATAGTGTTCAAGGCACATACCATACTAGCTACCTATTCCTAAGGGCCTTAGTGTGCTTTATATTCTCATAGCTGCTATAACTCCATTTTAATATCAAAGTAATAATCTAAACTAAAATTAAAATAATATTATAGGATTCAAGCTATTTTATTAAGGTAACTGCAACACCACCAGTATGAGATCTCTGGATAGGGTCATGAAGTTGAGCTAAGGCTTCTCCACCAAACCCATGTGAAAACACACACATACCAGGACAGTGAGGACGGTGGGGGTGGTTTGGAGGAGGGAGCTGGGATGAGCCTCATTTTCTCGGGAATGTGAAAAGAATAATGGGGTTGTGGGGCGGTACAGACCATAGATACAGAAGGACCAGGGAAGTGGAGAGACAGGTTTCCTGGAGGACCTCGCTCTCCTCTCTTCTCCGGGCTGGGCCCAAAGCTGAGGACTCAAGCTAGGGTAGGGGGATCTTGAAACACAGTAAAGTCCTAACTGGTGTTTCCAGACTCCAGAAATAGCCAAGAAAGCAAAATAAAAAGTTTATGCTCTAGGTGTCCGGATTTGGGAAGAGGATGATGGGAAGGGTCAAGTGTACCTTTTCTGCTTCAAAACCCCTAGGATGCTTCAGTGCTCTTGGCTAGCCCTTTTCGGAGCCCACGGGGAATCTCTTAGATGAGATGCAAGGCAACAAGTTGTCCATCTGGTCAGGGCTGTGGGGCTGGGAGTCTGGCTGCCTGGGTTCCCCGAGAGTCAGTCTTGTGTTGCCACTGGGGCCATGTGCAGAAAAATTCACCCCTTATATCTGCTATGCAAAAATTCACCAAAAAGTTAAGTCATCCTGACCGCCTCATTTGCAGCCCTGTGATTCTTCCTCAGGGAAAAATGTGAATGGTCTCTGTCTCAGGATTATTTCTGGTTTCTCTCTTGGCAGGGATTATGGGATTATTTCCCACTGGGATTGTGAGATAAACAGAATTCCAGTTATGAGTTTAGTCACACTGCAATTACGTGCTAAATGCCCATGTGTAGTTTGGGAACCATCCCAAATAGGATTTCAGATTTTTTTCCATTTGGGATTACAGGATTAATCCTCACTGAGTTTATGGGATTGACTTGAGGAGCGTTATGGTATTACTCCTCAATGACATTACAGAATTATTTTAATTGGGATAATAGGATTAATCCCCCCAAAATGATGGGAATACTTCCCATAGGCATTTTGTGATTAATCCCCTAGTGGATTATGCACTCTTCTTCTCTGGGGAAGCCATCTGTGCCCTGTACCTGGTGACAGGAGTGAAGAGCAGTGAGTTCCCAGGCTAGACCTGTGTGGGGAGAGGTTTTGGCCGACAGCTGAACATTTCTCCTGGGCAGGGGTCTAGGCTGGCCCCTGCTTCACACTGCTCCAAGGGTGACATCCATTTGTCATCCCAGGGTAAGGGCAGGTTCAATGGCAGGATTACGGTCACCAGTGCTTTCAATGGCCAGGACATAAGTGGCACGTGAGAGAGACCCCAGGCCTTGGTTCCACCTCCTGCCCCAAGGGGCACAGAGAGGCCATCCATCCCATCTTGACCAAGGGACAAAGGGAAGTTGGGGCAGGGGCATCCAGGCTAGGTTGGTCTGGTCCAGAGAGGTCCAGGTAGTGTGGAGTGCAGCCCCAATAGCTGAAAGGGAGATAAGCTTTTCTGTGTGATGGAGGAAGGAGCACAGGACAAAAGTCAAGGATTGGGAACACTCATATTGGACAAATCCTGGAGCCCTGATCTAAGAATGCAATCCTGTGTGATGGGACCTCGCTAGAATCTCTTTGAAATCACAGGGGTTTTTTAAGAATCCCAGAACTAGTTTCAGCAAAGGAGTTCACCTTAACCATGCGTCCTGGTTTGGGCTGGAATAGAGTTGTGTCTTTCTGGTAGCTAGAATAGTGCTGTATTTTGGATTCAGTATGGGGTTTGGTATGAGAAGAGTGGTGATAGCACACTGAGGTTTCCAATTGTTGCTGAGATTTCCAGGACTCTCCAACTCCCCATGTCCTGCCTGTGTGCAGCTGCACAAGAAGCAGGGAGGGAGCACGGCCAGAGCGCCGGGCCCAAATTGGCCAATGAAATGTTCTATATCCTGTAACGTCATGCTCACTATATAGGTGGCTGGGAAGGGGTTGTCTCTCGCTTCCGGGACTGTGATTGCGGGATATTGGTATTTCAGGATTGCTAGCTGGGAACGGGCTGGGTAACAGTCAGCGGGTGGTGAGCAATTGCACTGTTCATTGCCAGTTTACACTTTCTGTTATTGTCACTGATTTTATTCCCATTATTAAACTGTTTTCATCTCAACCTGTGAGTCTCCCTTTACCCCTCCGATTCCCTCCCCCATTCCCAGGTGGGGGAGAGTCGGTGAGCAGCTGCGTGGTGTTTGGCTGCCAACCAGGTTCAAACCATGACACCATGTAATGGTCTGTTTAGGAGAAAAGGGACAGAGGGCATCTTCTGTCTACAGAGAGTCACTTTCTATCCTCTTCTTCCTGTCACCAGACAGGATTAAAACACATTTGTCTTTCTTGACAGGACTTCAATGGACAACCAGCAGTCTACCACAAAGATCCTCTCATCCCAACATTCCCCCATTCTTCTTCAAAGCTGTACTGCACTGGGAAATACACCAAAGGCTCACAGAGGTACGTGGAGTGGTGGTGGTATCCAAGGCTGCCCTCCACTCAGGGAAGGGTTAGCTCTAGAATTGGAGCAGTTCTCTCAGGGCCCGGACCAGGGCAGTTTAGAAAGCTTTCCCAGATGCAAACCACTCCAGGTACCAGGCCCAGTCCCAGCACTGCTGCACTCCTCTGGCAAAATATTTGTCCCTTTGCTTCACCAGAATTTCCCCATCCCATCCTGTGCTCATCACCTTTCAGTCCTTTCCTGGGCACCTCCAAGAAAAGTCTGTCTCTAACCCACCCTCAAATCCCTCCAGGGAATGAGAGGCTGTAACTAAGGCTCCCCTGCCTACTCAGCTTCAGGCCAGACAAACTCAGAGCCCTCAACCTCTTCCCACTTGTCTCGCGTTCCAGCGTCCACCATCTACAAGATCCCTGATAGACATCTCCCCTGTCCTGGGGACACAGGGTGGTTCCAGTCCACTGCTCCCCCAGGTGGAGCAGGGTGACAGAATGATCCCCCTCCTGGCCCTGACAACTCCAGTCTGTCTGCCAGAGCCAAAGGGATGGTGGATTATTGCCACACAGCACCCTGTGTCTTGGGGCTCCTCACCTGCAGGACAGTGCTTCATCCCCAGGTGCCATCAAGACTTGGGCTACATCACATACATCAGAGTGTTCAGGTCACAGGGTAGTGGGATGACTCAGGGACCCCGGTACAGAGCAGCACGCCCATTGCCTGGAGACTGGTGGGGCCAAGGGACCAGTGTGCACACAGAAGTGCTCAGTGGCACTGGTCCTGCCAGTGTGCTGGAACTCAAAACTCCTGGCACTCAGCAGCGTGTTGAGCCCCAGGTTACCAGCAAGGCACCCGTACTCTCACAAACCACGGTGTGAGCAAGCCAGGAGACCCTTGAATCTTAGACACACATGAGCACACACAGGAGTGCTCCCTCTGGGGTCCCTTGCCAGATTCAACTCCAGGCTGGCCTTGGCTTCCCAGGTGGTGGAGAAGGAAAGGGCTGTGTGAGCAACGCTGCTTACCTATGAGTTAGTGAAACAGGCTGAAAGGCAAAAGAAATGGAAGAGGTTATAGGAAATAGGGGGGCAGGTGTGAGAGAGGACAGAGAAGAAAGGGGAAGGGGACAGAAAAAAAGAGAATAGAGGGGGAAAGTGAGAGGCACTCTGTGGATGGCAGAGAAATGAGGTAAGGCAGTGAGTAATCAGAAAAAAAGAAGGGTCAAAAGGTAAGTCAGAGATGGGAAAGAATAAGAACGATATTAGAGACCAGGCAGAAGACAGAGAGATGATACCACCACTTTCCTTAAGTAGACAGAGTTGGAGGGCAAGAGGAGAAAATGAGGTACAGTCAAATACAGGGCTCTGTGCCTGCTGGTGCACATCCCTGTTTGCATTGAAAGGTTTGTGCTATGCTGCTCCAGCTTTTGAGTCACTGTGGATCTTGCTCAGCACAGAAATATGTCCCTGAGTCATTGAGTAGGGCATGATCTATCTCCACAGATAAGTGACCGCCCTTAGTCCCATTACTCTTGAAGCGTTTTCTGAATTCCTGCTCAATCTCTGCCATGCCTCCTTCCACAGAGTATACAACCAGCTGCAGACCGGTATCCTTCCCCGTGAGCAACTTGTACCAGGAGATGGTTGAGAATACACTCCCCTTTTGGGAACAGTTCAGAGTCACAGAGTCTCCCACTCGGACAACTGTGTCTGGTGACTGCTGAAGAGCGTGGCCTGGAAAGAAAAGGAAAGACATGTGAGGAATGAAAGATGTTGAAGGGGAAATGAAAACACATCCTTGAAGTATGACACGGGATGGGGTGGCATAAGGATGTCAGCAAGCTATGAGACAGTGTACAATTTGTCTGAGAGAGGTACCCAGGACAGAAAAAAACCAACCAACCAAACAAACAAAATAACCCCAAAAGCAACCAACCAAAAAAACAAACAAAAGCAAGCAAACAAACAAACAAAACAAAAAATAACAAAACAAAACAAACAAAAAACCCAAGAAGAACAAACAAAACAAAAAAACCCCAGCATAACAGCCTGAAACATAATAGAAAATTTGTTGTGAAAATGACTTCAGTACACTCAGTTGAAGCATTAAAATGGGACAGAATAAATAAATTTGTAGATGTGTAGAGGTTTATGAGCTGAGACAGGAAAAGATCACCCTTTTTCATTGCCCATCCTCCCCCTGGAAGCCTTGGGGAATGGGGCACTGCCAGCAACTGGGCACACAGTTATGTCTGCAGCAGCAGCTTCAGTGCAGCTGTTCAAGCAGAAGGGAAACTCACTCACCCACAGGGCACAGAATGGCCACAAGGAACCAGTGGAGAACCATGGGGAAAGGTCACCTCCTTCCAGCAGCCTGCCCCTGTTGTCAGCATCGGCACAGAGAGGTGTGAAGAGGAGAGGCTGAGAGAGGAAGAGACGTGTCTCTGCGTGGGTGGGCACGTCAGTGAGAGACGAGCCTGAAATGTGAGAAGGTGGTTGGCTGTCTGGGAACGGTGGAGAATGACACCTGCATGCAGGCATGAGGTGCATGTATGCTGCTCCGCTGACTTCCTGCCGAGAGTGAGTATCTGTGTGTATGTGCAGGTGGGAGACAAGTGTTATCACAGGATCATGACAGGGCTGTGTGGCAGCCTGAGTGCGTGCATGGCACAGGGATACACGAAGAGGCACGAAATGAAGAGAAGAGAAGAGAAGAGAAGAGAAGAGAAGAGAAGAGAAGAGAAGAGAAGAGAAGAGAAGAGAAGAGAAGAGAAGAGAAGAGAAGAGAAGAGAAGAGAAGAGAAGAGAAGAGAAGAGAAGAGAAGAGAAGAGAAGAGAAGAGAAGAGAAGAGAAGAGAAGAGAAGAGAAGAGAAGAGAAGAGAAGAGAAGAGAAGAGAAGAGAAGAGAAGAGAAGAGAAGAGAAGAGAAGAGAAGAGAAGAGAAGAGAAGAGAAGAGAAGAGAAGAGAAGAGAAGAGAAGAGAAGAGAAGAGAAGAGAAGAGAAGAGAAGAGAAGAGAAGAGAAGAGAAGAGAAGAGAAGAGAAGAGAAGAGAAGAGAAGAGAAGAGAAGAGAAGAGAAGAGAAGAGAAGAGAAGAGAAGAGAAGAGAAGAGAAGAGAAGAGAAGAGAAGAGAAGAGAAGAGAAGAGAAGAGAAGAGAAGAGAAGAGAAGAGAAGAGAAGAGAAGAGAAGAGAAGAGAAGAGAAGAGAAGAGAAGAGAAGAGAAGAGAAGAGAAGAGAAGAGAAGAGAAGAGACATGACCTCAGGAATAACTGTTTCTGTCTGTGCCTCTCATCTGCGTCTCCTCTCTAGACGCTGTCGTACTCACAGAATCCCAACCCTGAAATCAGCCATAGGTAACCTCCTCTGGTTATCCCAGTGCTATTCGTCATGTTGCCCAGGTATGGGGAAGGCTGCTGACCTGTCATTCTGGTGTCTGTTGCAGCATGACAGAGGACTTGTGTAACTGCTCTTCTCTCCCTCCAAAGGGAGAGCTCAAGGAGAGAAGAGGTTCCCTTTGGCTCTGCACTGGGACTGCCTCTTGGGAAACGGCACCACTGAGTGATTTCTGAGAAGGGTATTCACCATGGGATATGGTGGTAAAGAATTACCTTCTCCATGCCAAATAAGAGCTGATAGTCTTCTTTTTGTAGCATTCTGCAAAGAAGAAGCAGGATGAGGATGGACAGAGAGGGAGAAAATGCTATCTCTCTACACAGAGCACAGGCTTGTTCACCAACACAAGGCTGTGGGAAATCACTGCAGGCAGGAACTGAGGCTTGCAGTTTGTGTACACTGACACAGTCTGTGTCAACAGAGAATTACTCCACATCCCCACAACACCCTGTCCAGCTGTCCAACTGAGAGGAGGCTGTGCTTGATGGGAAGGGTCTCCATTTGCCAAGGGGTTCCCTGGGCTGTGTAGGTGGCAGGGCAGTGCACTGGGAGCCTTGCAGAATGCACAGTATTTGAGGAGCTAGTGATCTCCAACAGGCCATGCCTGCTCTGTTGGGCTTGAGGGCTTGAGAAGCATGTACGTAAGCATGAGAAGCTGAAGTGTACGAGCCTGCTGGAGTGCCCCGTGCTGGCCTGTGCTGCACACTGGTGTAGGTTACGACAGAGATAACACTCTCATCTGTCAGGAAACTTTCTGTTAGTTGCACAGCTTGCTAACGTAATCTGTAATTCATGTGTATTTGGGAAAGGTGAACTGTATGTGCATCTAGGGGAGGGAGGTAGTCATCCTGACACGGAGAAGTTAGTGATCCACACAGCAATTAACCTGAGCAGGCGCAGGCCTGCGCTGTGGTACGCTGCATGTGCAATGTGTCATCCAGGCCCGCACTGTGCCGCACATATCCCTTGAACATCGGATAACCTCAGACAGGACATCGCAAGGGAGGAGCATGTGGACAGCTCCCACTTGCTACAGGCCATTATGCCACCTGCCTGGCCCTGCCTTTATCTAAAGGTGCACCAAGAACCTCTCACATGAACGTGCTTTCCGTTTGGCACTGAGAATGATTAACAGGGTTGGCTGGAGTTAAATGAGAGGAAGTCTGTGGAGCGCAGATTGAAGAGAGACAGAAAGAAGGTGGGGAGAGAAAGGGGGAAGAAGGGTTGACGGAAGTGAACATAACGTACATGAGAGTTAAATGAAGAGGGAGACAAGGATGAGTGGGGTGGCAAGGAGAGAAAGCAAGACAAATAAACTCGCTGAGTCTGAGAAGAGGAGGAAGAGAAGGCTAGGAAGCAGAGGAGGTAATAGATGGAAGGGGATCATCCTGCCTTGTGCAACACCAAGGAGGAGGAAAGCAAGTCCCTTTTGTGCAGGGGAAGGTTTGCGCTCAGCTCCCTCAGCAGCCTAGCCACTGTGTTTCACTCTCAGCACAATAGTACATGCCAGAGTCATTGAGAAAGGCATGCTCTATGAAGAGGGTCATCCCGTCGCCTTGTATCTCACTGCTCTTAATATGGTTTCGGAGATCCTCCTCAATGGTTACTTCAACACCTTCTATTGCAGAAGACACTAGCCTCAGCCTGGAGTCCTTCCCCAAAGGCAGTTTGTACCAGTACATAGCTCTGTTGGAGGATTTCTTCTTGGAACAGCTCAGATTCACAGACTGGCCTTGTCGTATCACTGTGTCTGGGGACTGTTCCAGAGCCAACGCTGGAATGGAAAAGGAGGAGCGTTGAGGAACAAAAACTGGAAAAGCATGAACTAGGCACCATGGGTTGGTAGAGAAGGGGGTGAGAAGGAACAGGACAGGTTAGGGAGCAGTGGAATGGATGGGACAGCTCTTCGGAACAGCAGGTGAGTTTCCAGTTGCTCTCCAATAGGCAAGAAACATTCCTGGGCACTTTGTGTCCAAAAAAGGGACCATTTGGGGGTTGTGCACAGATGAAAAAATAGACAGCCAATGCAGGAGATTGAGGGATTCCTGCCCACCTCATTCATTGCCCATCCTTAGCAGAGGAAGCTTTGGGGAATGGAGCACTACCAGCAACTGGGTTACACAGCTGGGACAGCAGCAGAGGAATTGATATAGGTGCTCAGGGGTCGAGTTCACTTACCCATAGGGGCCAGCATGGCCACAAAGAACCAGTAGGGAACCATGGGGGAAAAGCCCCTGTCCTTTCAGGAACTGCTTTTTGTAGCTGGCCAGAGATGTGTGAAGAGGAAGCACTCAGTGAGGATGAGGGTTGGACAGGACGTGAAATGTGAAAAAGGATTGGCTGGCTGGTAACACTGGGGGATGACACAGAAAATCACAGGAACATATGAAACCTGCAGAGAAGCAGGAAGGGGCTGGGGAGGGGAGAAGTATGTTAAATGGACAGAACTATGCTGAGGTTGCACGGGAGTCCAAGTGTGTACAAGTCAGAGGAATTCTCCCTTTCTCCTCCTGAAGTCCTTGAGAGTGGGAGGAATGAAATATGAAGGTCACACATAGGTCCCTTGTATGTGTGTCCCATGCCATGGCCTGTTCACTTCCCACCACCTCCCACCCCATCCCCGGCTGTGTGAGAGCTCTTTTTCTCTACGTAGTACTGTGAACAAAGCAATTAAAGTCACTGAGTGCAGGACCAAGAAAGGCACCACAACAGCCCCAGCATTCTTCCTGCCAAGGGCTCTCATGGGCTTTGCAGTGAAGCTCTTCCCTCATCCCTTTCTCTGAAGAGCTAAAGAGTGCCTGCTGCTTCCAGCTGCTCTCCTGCAGGGAACTGTGAGTCCCGCTGTGGTTAGTTTCTCTTCCTCTGCAGTACAGCTGGGAATGTTCCTGAACAGCACAAAGGATAGAGTGGGGTGGAGGTCTCATCTGCCCCAGACTGCCCTTACCCTTAAGACCTTTCATCCCAGTGCTCCAGGCTGGTGCAGTGATCACTGTGATGGGGATGGGGAGGTATATCAGTGGTCAGAGTGTGTGTGTGGTGTGTCTGTGTCTGTGTGTGTGTGGTGTGTCTGTGCACATGTGTGTTTTTGCACATGTGTGCATAGATATGCAGTGTGTGTGTGTGTGTGTGTGTGTGTGTGTGTGCGTGTGTGCGGGGCTCCCTCCAGCCCTGGCCCAGAAAAGCTGGTGAGAGGGGTGGAAGAGGAAGGCAAATCCCCGTGAAGAGCCCAGTCAATGTGCTGACATGGGAAACAAGCAAGAACTGAGCGTGGCCCAAAGCAGGAGGCATGAGGGAGAAGAGGTGCTAGAGACTGGGGCCAGGGTAGCCCCTCACTTGCCGACAGGCAGTAACCCAAGTTCATCCAGAGATGATTTCTCTCTGTGGCCTAGATGGGGAGCCCTGGGTGTTTCAACCTGGCGTTTCCTCTGGGGCAAGGGCTTCTGGCAGCTCTGCTTCAGGAGCACACTTTGTCTGGGAAAGCCAAAGAGAGCTCAGCAACTGAGCCCATCTGTGTAATTGCCCCTTCTGCCCTGTGAATCAACCTGTCCAAGGTGAGTTTCTTTTCTGGCAGGACTGAGCCTGTCCTCCAGAGGGGTGGGGGGCAGGGGGGAGGGGGGAGGTCTGCCACTGGGATGCAGCCAGAGAGACCTCTATGGTCTTGAAAGCAGCTGTACTGTGTAATTTTTTCATTCATGCTCTACCAGTGACACCTCTCTGCTGCTTTGCTCAGAGGCTCAACAGATTCAGGCCACTGGCAGCCTCTCCACAGTGCCCTCAGGTGCTTCTGCTCAGAAGGACATCCACATAGCCTCGCCTGAAAGGGGCCAACTCAGCACAGGCTGCTGGAGAACCCGATTAGCACAGGGAGGGATGCACAGCTAGGCGTGTGGCAAGGCTGAAAGGAACCCAGGCAACAAATGACAGAGGTCTTCACCATGCTGAGCCCTGCTGGCAGCATCTTTTCCTCCTCGTAAGAACTGTCAGACCCTGTTCCTGGAG